ACCACCAATTACCCTTGGAGACTAGCTTTCTCCTTGGAGACCATTTTTCTCTCTCCTCCAGCCAGTTTTCTTGTCAGGAAACTGGTCTCCCTCACTTTTGGGCCACAATTACTGGCCTCCCATATCACCACTGAGTTGTATTCACCTGGGAGACCACCAATATGGGCTGCCGACCACCTAGTTTTGAGTTGGACCTTTTGACCTGGCTGGCCGACCACCTGGCCTGGTCTGCCGACCACTTGAACTGGTCGGCCTACTCTCTCCTGTTTTGTCTTCCTGAGTTGCTTCCAGTTGTGCCAGCTGGGAGGCATTTGCTACATCCTCCATACACGTGTATGGAGGATGTTTAATCTTGCTTCCAAGCTTCCAAGAGAAGCTTTAGACCTCTTTGGATATAAGAGAGACCCTCTTCCTCATTAGCAAGGGTTCAGAACCTAGTTTGAGGCATACATACACCTTTTCCTATATCTCTCTATTTCAAGCTCCAAAGACCTTTGTTCTTGGCCCATTTCCACTACACCTCTTAGCCTAACACCTCCAACACCAACCTAAGCTTGTTGGAAGGTCTTGAGAGGTCCTAAGGTCTGAGTTTTTGGTCTCAAAGCTGCTGGAGTTGCTGAGCTTCAAGGGTAACACTTCTTTCCCTCTTCTTGACATTATTTTGCTTCATATCTTAGCTCCGTTTGTAAGCATATCTGGGCTTTGTCATAAACTGAAAAAAAGTCTTATTTTGAGCTTCTTAACAAGTTTGTTTAAGGTCTTTTTTCTGTTGGGGGTCATCTACCCACTTGCATGCTTCATTCCATCTTGTTTTGTGCGATGCCTTAGGGCCTTTGTGTTGAGATTTGTTGGCCCTTTTGACCACTGAAATCCAGCGGATTTTTAGTGGTTATTATGTGTTTTTGAGCATCAAAATCAGAGAGGGGTGACCCTCTCACCCCTTGTCTTGTTTACTAGCATTGTTGGCCTAACAAAGGGGCCTATATTTACACACTTCTTGAGCATGTTTCATACCATTTTTGATGAGTTTTACGACCTGTATGAACTCTCTCCAGAGTTTTTTTTTCCATATTAGGTGTCCTTCTTGCATGTGTAGAGTAACCCTCTTCATAGCCTTTCAAAGGAGTCGTTACTTGCATGCTTCCTAGCCTCATTTCAGGCCCTTTTCAGTGAGTTTTAGGGCCTTCATAACCTCTTTCCAGAGGTGGTTTTGCCATTTTTGATGTCTATCTTGCATGTGTAGAGTAACCCCTTGCATAGCCTTTCAAAGGAGCACATCATTCTAGCATGTGTTGACTGAGTTCCAGTGGGTTTTAGGTCATATTTTGGCATGCTTTGTTTTTTTTTTTTTGGTTGGTTTGGTAGTCCTTCACATGCTTCATATAGTTGTAGTGCAAGTCATGGTTCACTAGCTTGTTTTGCATGATGTTTTGGCCACCATTCCTAGCATATTTTGGCCTTGCCTTAAACTGATTTTGTGCATGTTTTGGACTTCCTTAGCTCTTTTTTTGGGTCTCATGGTCGAATGATGCTTGTTTTGCATGCCTGTAGTTCAATATCCATGCTTAACTTTGAGTTTTGAGGTCCATCGTATGCATATACTGAGGTATTTTCATGTTTTGGGGCCATTGCACATCATATTTCAGAGCCTATATGCATGCCATATTCCCATGATTTTCACTCTTTAAGTGCATTAGAGAGTCGGGCTTGTATGCCTCATTTGCCGACCATTGCATGGGCTTCATTTGAATGCATTCCGAGCCATCATTTCAGACCAATTTCCCACTATCTTGGACCTACGTAGGGTCTACTTGGGGTTGGTTTTTCCATTTGTGCATTGCTTTCTGTACCTCCAATGTAACGTACTTCACTAGTTTCGGTATCTGGGTCATCTAGCATGCATTGTGTGACATATTTGCATGATTCGAGACCATCTTTTATGCCATTTCAGAGCTAGATCATGTGCAATTCTATGCCATATTTCATCCTTTTCCATGCTTTGTTAGAGTTGCATGTTGTGCCTTAGGATCGGTCCTTTGCATCCGTGCATGTTTGCATGTATTTTGGTTGTCTCATTTTCATTATTTGGCCACTAATTTGGGTGTGGTTAAGGCCCATTCATTTTAGTTTAAGTCCATCTTGCATTGTGTATGCCATGTCCGTATTGTCGCATGCTCGATCATCGCATTGTGTATGCCTTGATTATGCCTTTGTGTATGTCCATCTTCATATGTGTGCATTGTGTATGCTATATAGTCCTCATGTGCATTGAGTATGCCTTTGATCATTTCATATCATTGTGTATGCTAGTAGCATGTTTGCATATCATTATTTGCATGTTTGCATCATTTAGTGGCATTGCATTTAGGTTGCATGTTAGAGTTGCATTCATGCATGCCATGTGTGTTGCATTCTGTTTGGAGTAGGGTTTGGTCCAAACACGGGAAATGAGGGACGTTTTGTACACCATGTGACGAAACGTGTATCGATTCTTGGTCGCCGACACTCCGGATTACCTATGATGGAGTCTAGGCCTTGTTGTGTTTATATGTGCATTTGTTTCACATCAAGTCGTGCAATTCGATTCCTCGGCCATCGTGCATCAAAATGCATGATAGGTGGCACGAGGATCGAGGACTACATTTCCTAGAGCTTATGCAATGATAGGGAGAGTAGTCGTGCACACATATGTTGAAAATACTTTGCCATTCCCTTTTTTTGCTCTCTGTTGCAGCAAACCAGAAATGAGCAGCCTTCTAGAGCATTGTACAGTGTTCCGGGATCAATTGCAAACAGAGGCAAATCGGGGCATCACGAGGAATTTCCCGACAAGGTGACTCGAGCATGCATGCATCTTTCATCATTCAAAACAAAGCTGAGGCAGTCCATTACTTGTAGTATTGCATGCTAGTTTATTCGCTTTCCTAGTTAATTTGTTAATTAATTAGGGTTTTGTAATATTTAATTAGCTAGAGTAGTTAATTATTTATTCGGATTGTATTATTTATTTGGACCCTCTGAGAGAAGGCCAATTGTTGTAATAAGTGTGCGTGTGTGTGATGTATGTCTTCCAACCCCACGTCTTTCTCCCTTTTATTTACCAGCTTATTATGGTTAGTTTAAGGCATGTTTCAATTGGCATACTTATGATAGCATGTTTGCATTCATTTATCTGTTTTGCATGCACCGGGCTCGGTGCATCATACTAACTGCATCGTATTTTAATTCCAAGTTGAATACGTGTATCAATTGTTGCATTTCATATGCCATCTTAGAATAGCCGAGCCTAGCTTAGTTGCATTTTTGCATGTGTTGCATTAGGCATTTCAGCATAGTTAGGATTCATGCATGATTTCTAATTAGCTTCTTTCTTTGGCTCGGAGTACTCGGTAAGTGTTTATGCTTTAGCATCCTTACATGTGTGTGAGTGACTGCCATGATAGCATGCTTACCATGAGGCTAACTACTTATGTGATATAACTGCCTGAATGCCTGTGGGTGAAGGTTGGATTACTTGGATTGGAACAATTCATTGATTGCGAGTTTTAAGCCCACTAGATAGTGGCAAAACCATGTTTTCTAAGCCCACCCGAGGGTGGCAAAATCTGCATTTTAAGCCTACTTGAGAGTAGCAAACCGCTTTCAAAAACAAACATGAAATGTTTTGTTCCAATTCAGGCGATCCGGTCTATACTTGTATGTTGCGCGCATCGCATAGTAATTCTGGGCTAATAAACCAAAATAAGAACACATATGTTTTCAAAACTCAATATCATGGTTAGTAGAGGCCAATCTTTGATCGGGCGAGCGGGGGTGCTCTCGAAGTGACCTTCCTCAATCGTACCCAAGTTCCCGAGCCGAGGCAACTTTGGTGATGACGGACACATGGCCTTAGGCAATGAGTCAGGGTTTCCTAAATTTTCCAAAATAAAACATTTAGGTGGCGACTCTGTATCTGGCAAAGCAGTCCATGTTTGGCACTTCTTTCTAAAAAAATCAATTTTTCAAAACAATTTGCCGGATTTGGACTCTTTGATGATTCATCAGTCTTGCATTGCACTTAGCGAGACTAGATACAGGACTGTGACTTTGAGTCCGAGCTGTAGTGAGCCCAATGAACAAAACGGGATTTCTCCTGGGGCGTTCGGGGATGTCTACAGACTGCTTTGAGGAAATAAAGTAGATGAGCTAGAATTTTATAATTGTAGAATGTTTCTGACAGTATTCTTGAATCACATCTCTCTAGTATACTGTTTTTTGTGTTTGTATGATGAGAACAATAAGCTGGGATCATTGGTCATGCATCTTAGTTCTTGGGCTGAATCTCTTCAGTATAATGTTGGAACCATGATGCAAATTTTTATTTCATAGGGTTTTGAAACAAGTGCCTTTTCCATTGCTGAATCTTTGTTTTTGGAGTTTGCAGGTCCACTCTTTGGAGCACATTGAATCTGTAGAGCTTACAAGCCATATTTTTTCTAGGTGCGTGTGTTTTATTTTTTTTCTTTTTGTTGAGTGATGCACACGAGACCATGTGGTGGGTGTATGTGGTTGTTGACAAATATGTTGACATTAGTCTTTAGATTTCTTAGTTCCTGTTGATTGGTAACGAGGGGTGACCTCTTTTTGATTTCCTAGAAGGTTGAGAAATCAAAAGAGGCTATCTTTGACCAAAGGGATTACTGCACAATTAGAGGATGAAGCATTGATTAGTCTTGTGGTCTTGACTTTGCTTGCTTAATTTTGCACCAACATGTGCATGAAATGTAGTGACTATTAGATGTTAAATGCCATGCATTCAAAAGACTTACTGTATCTATGATTATGTCCATCTTTTCCCCTAACGGGTCATTTTGTTCGTGCTTTCTATACACATTGTTGCCACATTCAATTTTCTTCAATTAATTTGTTTTGTGTTTTTTATAATGCTTTCTAATAGAGAATCAGCTAGACGCTCTAAAAGAAGAAAAAAGCTCATTTGACTGAGCTAGAAACACAAGATGTCCTTTATCTTGTCCCTTGGGACCCAGCCTATAACACTCCACACTTTCTCATCAAAGAATACAACACATAAATTTGCTACATCAGATAGGCCAACTGTCATTTATAGTAGTAACAAGAAATTACTCTATAGCAATGTAAATTTGAAGCAGGTCATTCATATGTGCCCTTTCAACTTTGCTGCTTTTCCGGACAGGTAAATTTGGCTCTCTCTTTTAATTTTAAGTTTTTTTCCCCCTCATCATCGTCAATTGAAATGTTGGAACTTGATTCTTTTGTATTTTTTCTTAAGCACACTTCTTGAATTGGAAAAGAAGAAATCTTTAATTGTTATTCTAGTCCATGCTTCTAAAGGTAATTATATGCCACTTCTTTGTAATTTTAGCTCAACAGTTTGTTGTTGTTCTCTGTTTTGGTGTATCTGATGTATATGTTGTTCTGCTCTGCTAATCTGGTATATTTGTAATTATCTACTCTGTTTTAGGTTAGATTTGTTCAACAAAGATTGAATTCTGCTCTCATCTATTCATTTTAGGCCCTGATTCTTGAAATCAAGTGATTATTAAGGTAAATGTTTTTCTTTTATTTCATTAGCATAAGAAATATGAATGAAATTATGGAATTCAGAATGTTTGAATTGATTAGTATATTTAAGTGATTTACAGATTATAATTTTATAATTTTTATATTTTATAGTTTTTATTTTATTTTTTATTTTGCTATCAACTTATTATGATATCTAACTTTTCGAGGGCCTGCTCATATAACACCTAGCTTATTGATGAATTCAACCTTATATGTTACTTCTGTTAGATCGCTACTAATCCCAAAAGGTCAAGTTGTGTGGAAAGAGGCCCAACAATGCATATTGAGCTCTCTGACACCCTCGTCATGTGCAATCCCGTCTTGCATATGGAGATGAAAACATCCTAACATGTGGAGAAACAAAATGCAAACAAGGAAACAAATGCATATATAGAACTTGAACCTAAGACCTTTATTAACCTGTGGTTTGACACCTTATTAGACAATCACCTGTAGTCCCGAAAATTTAAGACCTTAGGAAAGGGGCCAAACAATCATTACTTTGCTCTTCAATACTGTCACTTGGATTTACCTTTGAAAATGAATTTTCAGTTAGCCTTGATGCATCACTGCAGTATGTACTAAGCATTGTAGTCTATCATGGTTACTTGCACTTTTTTACCCCTTTATGTCATTTTCAAGTATGGCTAGTCAGAGTGTTAATGTAAATCATGTATGATGTATCCACTTCCTACCGTGTCATTTACATGTAAGTTTGTGCACTTTTGTGTTATTTCTTCCCTGAGAAGAGCCTAATTGGGTCTATGATATGCAGGTCCCATGGGTCATACCAATTCAAAGATTGGAACAGATGCACCACCAAGCAATACTCCAAACTGGACAATTAACATTTCAGATGTGAGGAAAATACTTACTAAAAGTGCACACTAGTCGGTGCTTATAAGAAATTCTTTTTATTCACAAACTGGACATCAGTGTGAATGACTAAACCACTAGTTGGTGCTTATAAGAACTGCTTTTTATGAATTGGGTATCAGTGTGAATGACTGCACTTTTGTCTTCAAATTCCTATATTCGAATATGTGTGTCCCCCTTATGTCACCAAGATGATGAGCACAGAATTTTGGACTTTGTTGAAGTGACTAAGATTCTGTCTTGCGTAAATCTATTATCTGCCAGTTTAACTAGTTTTGATTTCTTTAAATTTTGTTTTGCAAGTGGCAAGAACCACGCCGCATTCAAAATTCAATTAATGTAATTTGAATACTTCTTTTCCGTAATCACATTTTCTTAGTGATTACATGTACTTAGCTATTCTTTTACTTCTTTTTTTTTCATAGGTAAGAACAGTTAAAGTCAGTAATATCTCACTAGCTACCTCTGAGAAGGATATTAAGGAATTCTTCTCTTTTTCTGGTGATATCCAGTATGTTGAAATGCAAAGGTCAGCTCTCTTGACTTACCCAGTGTTAAATTTCTTGCATAATCAATGCTCCATAGAGTTTGTGGCACGTTCTGCAGGGAAACTGAAACATCTCAGCTTGCATACGTTACCTTCAAGGAATCACAGGGAGCAGATACAGCTATGCTTTTGACAGTATGTCAATTGATTTTCTATATCAGTCTTGATCTCAATTTTTTCATTGAATATTTTTAAAATAAAAAGATTTTGACTGAACGATGCAGTTCTGTACAATGTTGTAGAAATCAAACGTATCCGGAAGGCATGAAACCCTAATGTATGAAACATGTGCCTTATATTTTGTAAAATTAGGAAATTTCTAAAATATTCAATTTAATAAAGATGTACGCAAAAAAATACAGAAAGAAAAGAAGATAACAAAACTTTACTTGCAAAGAAAAAATTTCAGTTAGGGGCTCACTCCTTGGAAATTTTTTGTCATGTGAACCGCAAGGTCTCACCTGAACAGTTTTTTAAGCCTCCGGATGGGAAGCTTGGATGTGTAAGCTTCCTAATCTTTAGAAATATTTTTTATACAAATGGGTGCCATTTCAAAATTTCTATTAACCCTTAGATTTATTTTATACTTTTATATTTTTGGCCTTTTTGATTCAGGGATCCACAATTGCTGATCTTTCAGTCTCTATTACACGGGTCGAGAATTACCAGCTGCCTCCTGATGCTCCTTCCCTAACCCCTGTAAGTACCACGACTGTTAAAAATAATACTTTGGTATCTGTTTTTATAATACTGTTCTATCTATTCATTCTAAAAATTTAAAGATAATGCAAATGTAAAAAAAGTTGGATGGGCTAATGGTAGGTAAATTGGTCATGGACCTACTCACCTGATCCTGAGGCCCACATTGCAGTTTTTTGGAAACCTTAGTCGCTTTACTACTAGAAGGATATAAAACCAATGAAAACAAGAAAAAATAATAATGATGGTGATAATAACTATAAAATAAATAACTCTAAAAATGAATGACATAGGAAAACTTCTTGATGATTAAGGTGTGATATGGTGGTAATTGTTTATGACTGAAAACTCCCCTCCTTAGGCTATGTTTGCTTGAAGGATTTGTAGAGAGAAAGGAAGGCAAAATAAATAAAATAGAAATTGTATTTTTGTCACATTTCCCTTATTTTTCCTTTCCCACCACTAATCCCCACTCAAATCCTAGTCCCAAACACAATCTTAATGTCACAGGTTTGCTAGTTGCTATTCATGTCTTGATGGTCAAAACTTGCTGATTGCAGCAGCAAGCAGAAACAGGTCAAACCCTCAGATGTTTTAATCAGTAAAGAAAACAAACTAGAAAACTTTGAAAGTGATTATATATTTGAAACCAGGTGAACTTATAAGGGGGACACACATGTCCATTACTTGGAAAGACCTGAAACACATTATAATTTTGAACAAAATAGCTTGGAGGATATATTAATAAAAGAAAAAACAATATAGATTTATACTATTAATCTCTCTTCCTTTAAACGTAGGAATTAGCTCATTGTGGGTGCCACTTTTTACTTGTTGATCACCAGTATGGTTGCCTCTTACCTATAGTTTTTAAGTTTATGTTTCTTAGTGAATGCAATCATTTTATTTGTTTTCTTCTTGTTTCCAAATTATTGAATGATGTGAACTTGATAATGATTAGGAGTTTTGTATTGTAATATCATAGAATCTGAAACCTCTATACATATCGCAGAGATAATGCATATGCCTTCCATATCAGAAATCATTGAAATGGACCTTATCTGAATATTAGTAGAGAATCTAAAATTAGTTTGCCTTGTGTAAATTATTGCCATTGTTGCAAGTGAATGATTTGCAACTTGGACAACATTTTTTTTCACTAGAGTGTAGAATGCATTGGATCTACTGCTACTGATTGTTTTAGTATAGTTGGAAATCAAAGGTTTTTATTTTATTTTATTTTTTACCAGATGATGGTAAAAGCTTTATGTTTTGGCCAGTACTTGCGCTTGCATATCTATTAACTCACACACACATACACAGAGAGACTGTTACCAGGTCAATAAAAAAGCTAATGGACTTTGTTTTAAATTTGTCATTGATCAATACAGACTGCTACCAGATCCTCCTTTTTTGCTGGTGGCTGATGGTTGTTGCTTGTTGGTCTGCTACAGCTGCTGGTCTGCTACTTCTGGTTTGCTACTGCTGCTGCCGCCCTTGTGGCTGATGCTTGCTGGGCTGCTGCTGCTGCAATGTTGCTGTGAGGCGGCTGCTACTAGATGTTGGTCTGCTGGATAAGTTTGTGGGTGATTTTCATGCCGTTTTGCCTGTAATTAGTTTCATGTTTTCATTTTGTTATCTGTTGTTTCTAATGTGGGTTCACAATTTGGATGTATTTGGGTATTTTAGTGACTTTACCTTTTTAGGTTTTATACATTGCTTCTAAAAGCAATATCAGTAGTGCTTTTTTTGCTTGCACATCAACTTTAGGTGAATTCATATCAATGTTATTAATTTGTAATAGTGGTGCCTGAGGGATGCCTCTTGTAAATCTGTAAATCTTATAAAAATATATAAATTATTTTCAATTATTTTTGTTAGTAAATGAGTCGCCGAAAGTTTATTTTTGCCCACTCATATTGTGTTGCCAGAAATGTATATTTTTCCAATGCCAATTTGTCGTTGCCAAAGGTAAACCTTTATCGACAAACAAATCGTCGACAAATGGAAATATTTACCGACATAAATGTGTTGCCAAAGATTTACTTTTGCCCACTCGTATTGTGTTGCTAAAAGTGTATTTTTTGCCAATGCTAATTTGTCGTTGCCAAAAGTGAAGTTCTATCGACAAACAAATTGTAGGCAAATGACAACATTTACCGACGTAAATGTGTCGCCAAAAATTTACTTTTGCCGACGCATATTTTGTTGCTAAAAGTATATTTTTTGCCCAAGCAAATTTTTGTTGCGAAAAGTGCCAAACAATCATCATATTTGAATGACTTTTACCGACGCAAGGTAAATTGCCGACGATGGATGAAGGCTTTTATCGACGACTATGTTCGTCGCTAAAGGCATTACTTTTACCAACACAATGATAATTTCGTTGGCAAAAACTTTTGCCAACTCACTTTTGCCTACGGGTTGCCAACGTAGCTTTGTCTGTCGGCAAAACTCTTTGCCGACGAATTTTCCCTTTTAGCAGCATATTTTGTTGCATTACGAAAAATGCAATTTCTTGTAGTGTTTATATGTAGTTGTAACTTTTATGTTATATTACTTGAAAATATAAATCATATATTTTAATTTGTTTAATAAAAAAGAAAATTGGTGATAAATTTATATTTCCACTTAGGGGTCATCAATGGGACAGGTCAGGCTTATCCATCCCACAATTATTGGACGGGCCATAGGATGGGTTGGTTGAGTTTGGTAATATCGATTTTTTTGTCTGCAGGCCATTTGGGGACCCCTATTCCTACCCCTATAACTCATTGAGGACAATCGTGAAAGTATTGGGGCCATAATGACATTTGTTGAAAATTTGTTAGTGAAAAAGACAATTGTTGTTCAAAAGGACATTACCACCTATCTGTTGAAATTTTTTTTAACCTATCTATTCAAATCTTTTTTTTTTTATCTGCTTAAGTTTTTGAACTTATCTGTTTAAATTTGTATCTATCCGTTGAAAGTTGAATTTCACCAAGCCTATTTTTTTATATGTTTAAATTTGTGTGTATCTATTGAAAGTTGAAATTCATCAAGTCTAAGTTATTTGTTATAAATTTTTATCTGTACAAATTGATTTCATAAACCTACTTTCTCTTTTTCTCTATCCATCTTTGTCTCTCTCTGTCTCACTATTCTCATCTCTTTCTTTCTATCTATTGGTTTCCTAAAAGGAAAACTCACTAAAAATATGGATGCATATGAAGCAACAAGGATTGTCCTCTCAAGAATCCAAAACTTCGACTGTGAAAATGTCTCAAAGATAATGGCTCTCCTGTAGCTTCACGACCATGGTGAAAAATAAATGATTAGATTAGCCTTAGTGCCTAAAGCTTTAGTTCACTCGTTAGTTCTCAAGGCTTTGAAAAAGTTGGGTTTAGCATTGTACTCACTATCATCATCGTTGGCACCGTCATCTCGGTCGCCATTCCTTCCAAACAACTGCCACTTGATCTCTCATCTTTCCCGACGAAATTTCTTTTCTTTACGACTTTTCAATGGACATATATAGGGGGTTTTGGTCTGTTGATCAGAAACATGGGTAAAACCAAAAACGCTTTGCTAACAGCGACTAGTACGACGATTTGTAGTAGTGTAACCTCCAAGATGATCTAGCGGCTTGGGTTGAGACTGACCATTTTGCACTCTTTGATTTGGAGTTTGATATCTATTATTGTCGTTTATATTCCTTTTGGTCTTATTATTGATTGTGAGTGGTTGTTTGGAGAGTTTTGGTTTTGTTTAAAATAGGTTGGGATTTAGTATTTCTAGAAGAATTATGTCTGTTTGTTAATAAGTTCTCTTAAGCGTTCTTTTATTCGCATGAGCGGTCTATCATTTCTTCCAGAATTTGTGTTTGTAGTATGAACTTCTAGAAGTAGGGTGTTCTTCACTCGAGCAGTCTTTTCTTCGCTCGAGCGGTCTCTTTGCATGGCTAAATTTTGGAAAGAGGGTCATTTTTCACTCTAATAGTGCTTAATTTGCTCGAGCGATCTGTTTTGCAGGATTAATGTTCTGGGAGTTTGGTTTCTTCGCTCGAACCGTGGGTTGGTTTCTCTAGCGGTGTTCTGCATCTGACACTCGATTGGTGTTTTGGTCACTTAAGCAGTCTGCATATATAAAGTTATGGGGAAAAGATCTTTTTTTTCACTTTTTGATTTCTCTCTCTCTCTCTAAAAGGTCTCCAAACCCAATATATTTACTCTCTCTCTCTCTCTCTAGTTCTTGCCTAAACATCTCTCTATACTCAAATCCACTACTCTCGCTACCTTGGTGTTTTGGAATAAAATATAGAGCTCTGAGTGGTGATCGTTTTAATCTAAAAGGTTCTAGTTTTAGCTTTCATCGAATTTGGGGTTTTGTTCATCTCTCTTTCTACTATTGAGGTAGGGATTTCCTTAACATCTATGTATGGTTTTTAGCTTCATTATGTGCTCCTTGAATAGGGTAGCATTTTGAGGTTCTTAGGTTTGATTTGGATTTGAAATGAGTTGTAAAAAGAGGGCTTTTAGGATGGGATGTTTTGAAAGGTTGTTGGGATGATTTTGTTGATGAATAATATTGAAAATTGTGAAATTTCTCTTGAAAGTGGCTTTTTGAAAGAAACAGATGTTGTTTTGAAATATTGAGAATCCTAGGGATTGATTGGTTTTGGAACAAAGATAGAATTGTGATAAAATTTATGTATAACTAGGAAGGAGGACTTAAACATGTATTGATACTCCGATGTTCAAATTTTGAAAATTATATCTACTGCTTGAAATTTATGTATAATTGGAAAGGTGTGGTTGTGGTTATTATTATGTTGGATTATGTGTCCATAGTGAAAGTCTAGAAACTTGCACAGTTAAGTGCCGATCTTTCTAGTTAGTACTAGTAAATTGGCTTTGGTAGTGCTTGTATAGCCTACTGGCAGATACACACCTAGACATTCTCAGTGTGTGTATCCACTACCCTGTTTTCTATTTTGAAAGTAATGGTTTATGAATTGATTTATAAACATGGCTTTGCATTGTTTGAGGAGAAAAATGCATCGCTTGGTAAGTGGCATTCATGTGCATTCACCATATATG